ACGCTGAAGTATTCGCCGACTAAAAGTGCTAGAAGGTTTATAAATTTACTACCGGAAAAAAGAGCATAAACAAATTCAATGAACATTTCAATCTTTAAATTTTGCTCGAATCTGATGGAACCATAAGCGATTAATTTTCCATCCAACGCATAAAGTTAGAATTAGCAAAGATTTCAATTACCAAGCAAAGTGATCTGAATTAGTCGGGTTAGATCCTTTGAGAAATATATTATTTAGTGATAGTGTCACTTTTGAAGCTTTCCATTTAATATCAGTACTAAATAGGCTTACGAAGTGTCAACATAGGATTTATTGCAGGACATTGGTTGAAAATCAAAATATCTAATACACTACTGCACCCTTTATTGTCTATACAGGAAAAGAATATAGGGTATGGCGGTGAAATTACAACAAATTTTAGCGAGATGTTTATCGTGACGGGCATACGTTCCCCCATGGTTTTTGGTATTGCAAGAACACCCGCTCGATGTCGTAGGAAACGAGAAAGCGAAATCGTCAGAGTAAGCTGAGTTCGCAAGTTGAGCAAAAATGAACTATTGTCCAATCTAGTCAAACGCTCACAAAGATCAAAAACGTTTATTTACGCAATGTATTTTCGATCTCTATACGGCTTTCATAAGGCAAACCGGATGATTCTAAATGGGTGTTAGATCTGAAGGGTTCAGAAATGCAATTGTAGTGGATGATAATTGCATTAAATAACGAAGAAGATAACCACCAGAAATGACAGTTCTAGCACTAGTAAAAAAAAAAAAAGATCATTGACATATTTACGTTTATTCGGACACAATCTTAGCGGCAAGGCCTGAGCAAAAAATACGATTCAGGCACGGTACTCTGTGCCGAAAAATCTAAATAAAGAAATTTATTTATATTGGAGTGTCACCCGGTGTTAGAACCCCTTTCTGAGTCCCAGTATTATGTGCTATAATCACAGGAAAACGCACCTATCGGGACCCGACGTAAATACAAATTTTGAAATAAGCCCAAAACGGGCGAAATCATTTTGGTTGTTTCCACTAACCCTGTAACGATAACAGAAACTGTTGCCCTTTGGCCTGTTATGCACCGAAGTTTCTAGCGTTTACTCAATAATGCAATAGATGCTTTGCCACATATCGGAAAATGCCGTACACAATCCGAATGTACGTCAAGCTTGTACAAATAAATTTCTTAACCTATTATCAAACGGATGATTTATGGCACAATGTTGTATGAGCCTCTCTTCGAATTACTAGCACATAGGATTGTGCATAAAGCTAGTTCTCGGTGGAGCACAGAAGGGGGCTTGGCGATCGCAAGGGATCGCTGGCAATGGATAACAAAAACAATTATAGTAACATCAGGCGTAACCAAAGGTAACATATTATGTAGCCCGCTTAAGCTCAGTCGCGCCATTCGATCGGCGAGGTACTAGCCTTGTCCGATTTAGGGCTGCATCTTCCGTTTGTAATGAAAGTATAGCGTATCTATAGTTGGAAAGTTTTTTGCCAAGATGTACCTTTCACTCATCGAACTCAGATTCGAATCGAGGTTTAGTGTCCGATTGATTTCGCGTTCCTATTAATGGTAACGGCCGAAGACCTGTGGCCGTTTGGATGCGGCCGGACTGAATTCGCCTTTCTAAATCACTCCGACCACCGAATGCCAAGTAAATGCCAGACATTACTTTGCCTTTCATAGCGTTTTGTATCTGGCTTCCTACTCTTCTATTAACAACTGCTAAGATTATTCCTTATATTCAAGTCACTCATGTTAGTAGCGAAAAAAGCTTCATATTGTGTCTTTCGTGCTGCCAGCTGCAAGATGGGGCAAAATTATGGGACTGTGGAACGTATTTGTGAATCTGTAATCAAGCGGCAAATGTGTACAGCATGCCGATGGCATTCAACGCGAAGATCGGGTGTGATCCTTTCCGTGACTTAGATGAATCGCCATAATCGTTGCAAGAACTGGAACTCGTTGGAGCTATAATACCTATCTCGTTTCCTATATCTACTAGTTAATCGGGGCGAAGCCAAATAGCTGGAGTGTTGTGCCTTATTTTTGCCGTGGTTTTCCATGTATCTGCAACGTCAATTCTGTAATGTATGGAGACGACGGTCGAACGTGACCACAAGGACCCTCTGGCACGTGGGCAAATTTAGCAAGCTCAACGATCATTGCCTTTGTCAAATGTACGTAGGCGTTCACGAGATACCTTCAAGGATCTATGCTGTCCTTTTACTAGCCTTGCTCAGTGTTGGTGTCTACTGACCAGCGAACCGGTTCCAACAACGTCGGTTGTTCAGACAAGGTTAGAGAGTAACTCGAGGAAAAATTACTTGTGGCGCTTTGTTTAAGACTGAACTAGTTCTATTCCTTGCCAGTACAGCACCGACCGCCATTGTACCGACATCACGGGCTGACAGTGTGACACACGAAGTCTTTTTCGCTGCTTCGAATTAGCTCATTTCTGCTAACAACGCATTAAAGCAGTAGGTAGGTGTATTGTTTTTATTTGGTACCTTTGGCAGTCCCATTGTCTCAGTATTTGGCAACTGAGTATAACAAGACGGCAAAGACGCATCGCATTGAAAGGCCGATCGTTCGTAGCTAGATCACTTTACTAAGAAGCCTGAATAAACATAAAAACCAATCGTAGAATCAACATAACATTTCGTCGGTGTATAAACGTCGCGCACACGTCGAATAATGTCTTTATATAGTTACAACTTTGTGATACGGTACCGTATTTGTAGATGTGCAAACATCTACACAAGTCTGCCTATCTCTTTTCCTTATTATTTGGACTGAGGCTCCTTCATTTGCTCCTTTAGTAAAAAGCCCTTTGTTCGGATCGTGGAAGAGATCGATCTATGTGCACGATTATAGAGAAATTTTAAGTGAAATCATGTGACATAACTCTTAATATACACAGGCATTGGTGAGATGCCTTTAAGCATCTGCCATGCGGTTCTACTAGTTTCGCTGGCATCTCTATGGCATTCCGATAATTTGCCACAGACGTGGTTTCAAAGTGATCCCTACCGCCTGATAGGTAATTTGCACTTTGTGGAACTATGGCTACTAAGAGGCCTCAGATATGTTCACATAGGTTTGCTACGAGAGATCGTATAGCTTAAAAGCTACCACAACAAAGACGGCTTTTGTATATATATAACGTAATTATAAATAGTAAGTATATATAATTATTATTTTTTAAGTAACCCCTGTGGCGCAACTATGCAAAAATGGCGATCGAATAAGGTGTGCCAAAGTTCATAGGAATAGACCGTGATGTTACGGATAGAAAATCCGTGACACACTCGTCAATAAATCGCGAAAACTCTTATTTCCGGATGTCTAGGGGCATAAGGCTTGCGTCTGTGTTTCGCGGCAAAGATTCGCTTCTCTTAATCCACGCACGACACACGTCAAGGGTATTAGAATATCTGTAGCGTACATTCACGTCCGCAAGTGCTTTACGGCCAGGGTCCCCGCACAAGGCGCTTGATATATTTCATGATATACCAATCAACGCTGTACCTAAAGCAGGGAAGCTGGTTTATCACAAGTTACACGCAGAATAAACTTAAAAGCGCATATTCAATGCATTCAAGTGCCAAGTGGGGCCGCTTTTTTCAGCTGGCTTTTGACGTGCACAGGATAAAGTACAATTCATTACATTAGGAACTGTTCGTGGGAGCAAATGATCTATTCGGTACGGTGCGGCGTCAAACGCTTCCGCTTCGAATGCGTTCTATGGTAACTTTGTTACTATTCGGCGTATTTCAGAGCGTATCTATAAGACGAGACCATATTTTTGAGTCTATATGATGCCGAAGAGTTATAATGCTCGAATCATCTGTTTTTATATGTTTCTGGTAGAACAGTAAGTTAATGTGCAGGAAGAGCTACATTAAAACCCGTTTCATTCGCGCTATCTTTATTTGGCTTTGTCGTTTCAACATGCTACTATTGATGCACCTCCCGTTGTCAGCATTTGCATCGGGCTAAATAAAAAAAAAAGGGTAAAGCTAGAAAATGTTGCCTTTCAATGATTGCAGACGTAGCACTATTCTCAGAGTAGGACACGAACGAATGTGATCTCGAGGTCCTTTAACGGCCCTTTATCCAACAACCTACACAACATTAGATTAGAGTATGGTATATTCTGCGGTCGACCCGTTGCCCAAACGCATGTTGGGCATCAACATCGTAGTGGAACAGAAGAGTCCGTCTGATACATTGCTGATTCGCTCATTTGTCTGAACACTTCGCACATAGAAACGGTACTGATTTTGTCGACGCGATCGGATGGCTGAGCAGAAAACGCAAAGACAGCTTTTGAAAGTAGAAATATTCTTGAAGGCGTTTGGAGGAAGTTCACAGAACACTTTGTTCCGCTGATTTCCGGCAAAATTCTGTTTTAAAAAGTCTTCAAATAATCTATTGTAATGATAAAAAAGGCTTAATGGTTATGATCAAGCTTGTGATGAATAAATATCCTTTAAAAACATAACATAACGAATGGCTTCTTTTAAAAAGCAGCTATGTATATTAATAAAAAACAAGTAAATTGACGTCTATGAACATATATAAAAATTTTATACTCATGTGAAATATCATACACATACGCAGATGTGTGAGTTCTAGAAATATCTAAATGTATAAACGGAATTACTAAGAATGTAAAAATATTTATTAGTCGTTGTTTTTTGGCTTTTTAAAGTATTATATTGATAGAGGAAAGTCTCTACGCTATAGTTTCGACTTGTGTGTGTTCCAAGGTGTATAATATTGAAACTGCATAAACAAAGATATAATCAAGACATGTATCTATTTGCAGATACACACACACACACACATATATATGTATATAAATTTGTGAATGAAGGATGTACTACTAAAATTTTCTATTAAAATAGAAAGTGACAGGTAGCAATAACCGTTTCCTGCTTACGATAGCCGAACTGAGTGAAAAAGGTTAGGTCCAAAATAGCCTTGTGTCCAATCTAACCGTTTGCGGGATTCCTCTACAGCGAGTGTTTCATGCAGCTTTAGCTCACGAGTGCTTTCGTCGAAACGACGGTTTACCATAGAATCTCCTTCACTCTAAACATATCCAACTTTAGAACCATGTTTCGCATCATGGTACCATTGTACCTAAATAGAAGATTACAGTTGCTTCGTGTAAAAGAGTAAACGTTCCCGTAACAATGTGAGGTCGGATCCTGATTTTGCGTCCTACCGTTGGTCGATATCTCTTGACGCAAGGAAACGAAGCGGCCATTCTTAATAAGCGGTTGATATTATGTTTTGCCAAAAGCCGATGTATAGCCACATGGTATATGCAAGCAGATAGCCAACGCAAATAAATCAAGGTACAAATGGACCATGGGCAGGGCGACCACGTTTGGTCGCCAGACACCACTGATCAGATGATCGCATCCCCGTCTAATTACTTCTGTCCGAAAAAAGAGAGGTGTCCGTGGGTACGATTGCAGGTGATTGAGTATCAAATAAAAACGTGCGTACTAAGGTCTCAAATTTACGAAGAAAGGGCCATCACACTTCGAAAGCAGCTTGATACCTTCGGCAAGTTACCACAGTGTATAAACGAGGCTCAGCGAAGGCTGTTTGTCGAACAACATCGAACGTTCAACCAAAAATTGCAACGACACAACGATATGATTAGATGGATGCAGGATTGCATACTTCAGTTGCTCGAGAGGCAACGAAGGTAAGATGGTGACCTGGGTCTGAGGACAAATATGCCCCGAAATCCTCTAGTAGCTAGAACGATCTGGAGACTATTTTCGTTCATCTGAATTAGAATGTACTTTTAGCAATACGTCTCAAATAAAGTTACATTATTATAATCAAGATAATAGGATATTAGTGTAACTCTAGATACGTCCGTAGATAATGATTGGACTATCCATTCATGCTCGTATAAGTCTTTTGTTTGAGCTGGATATTACGTATAATTATGCATCTCATTCTAGATTGATTGAAAGAGCAGATGAGCACGGGTTTTGTATCGGATTCGATGCGACAAGAGACGAGGAGGCGACTCGTTGTGGACCTAACTGTACTGCCGTTGAGCATATGAGGTTCCTTTAACATTCGATATTCAAATTTAACAATAAGAAAGCTGAGATGAGGCCGGTAAAGCTCGAACGAAGGATGTGGCCCGTGTTTTATTATGTTTCTTAAAAATAGTCGACCCGAAATAAAAACTGAATAAAACAAAGGACGAAGATCAAATTGTTCCGATTCAGAAATGGAACGTACGCCCCCGTTGTGTAACGGCTCAACCCTATGGAGCTTATATGCGTTGAAGGCTTATAAATTTAAGACCCAACCTGCAATAAGTATAAAAGCCGAGGTTACGATTAAGAAGACGTAACGTTCAATTTTTAGTTGTTATCGAGCAGACACGTTATTACACTCTTGTGTCAAAGTAGTGTTAATTCGATTCACTGGGCAAGCTAAACCATGGCTAAAGCTCTTAGCTGGACATACATCCAATATCGAACCTATTAAATGCGTCAGGGCATCAGCATCGTCAGCCTTATATTGTACTACAACAAAGGTATAGTCGAGCTGAAACCTCGCTAAGGAGTTTATCATGCCGTTCTTTTGGGTCCGGAATCATTACTTCAGATCATTCAGCGGGTATGTATCGCTTGTGTGAGAGGATAAAAGGTTGTCCGAAAAGTACCGATGGCGATCAAACAAAAGGCATCAAGGATCAGAAGCATCGGAATAGAAGATGTCATGATTAAGATGATATCAACATATTAATATGGAGACGTAAGGCCAGATCTGCGAAAGAACGAAGTGAGCGAGGACGTTACACCACTATGTCCGAAATACGTGGAATGAAGTTCCAAAGAAACTAAATGAAAATGGTATATAACCTACGAAGTAGTCGATAATCTATAAGAGCGGCAGAAGGCGCGATGTAACAACGATGTCGCAAGATTCCAACGAATGAAAGGAATAGCAATGCATTGAAAACTACTCAGTTGGCTCAGGGTACGCGATCTAAAAGTTGATACCAGGAATACGCTCTATGAAATATTTCATGCGTTTTTTTCTATAATTAAGGTATGAAATCGTGAAGATAGGTGGAAACACATTATGCAAGGAGTATTTGACAATTAAAAAGTAAAAAATGTTTATTGATTACCGAAAATATTACGAGATGATGTCATGTATAGAACACCAACAAGCTTCCAGTATTTAGCAAGTCAGATTTTAACGCTGGTTAATGTCTACCAAGTGAAGCAAAATACCGAAGAATGGTGAAATACAAGCTTCCAAGCTGCATCAAAACGACAATGTCTGTATGAAGATGCTTAGTTAAAGTTGGGAAAGAGCTTTTCAAACTTTTTGTACGCAGTAGTAGTGGAATAAACATAAAATACTGCGCGATTATTAAGGCAGCGCTAATGAATTGTGCGCTATAACTTCCGGATAGTGGTTTTTGTTATGAGTTTCCTAATTACGGATAGACCGCTGTGTGTACTATTTATCATAGTAGTATCAGCTATAGCATAGTGTATGACGATATACGGTCGAACGTTTCTAAAAGTTAGCGAAACTTTGATTATCTAAGATGAAATTGCAAAAAAAAAAATACAAGAAAGTTGGTAATAAGTATACCCATGGCAGTGGATAGTGAAGCCTTAGCCCAGAAACTAGGAAGGGGTAAGCGCTTACCATACTGCATTAGGTTGGATCTGTGTAGTCTATAGATCGGTCTAAGGTTAAAGGGTCGTCCAATGAAGAAAGGTGCACAATACCATTAAATATATAAACATTTTTAGATTATAAAGCCTATGTTAGGCTATCAGTTATGAATAAAATATGGAAACATTCTTATTTACTCTTATACTTACTCATTCTTATAAACTAATTACACATAAAATATCACACTATTTGTAGGATTGTAACAATTATCGACAACGATTTATTTGAATATGAAACGAAAGTGTTTCCTCAACAGACCTAAGAAGTTTGAGACGTAAGTATCACAGAACTATGGGGTTCTAGAGAATATTCTAGAAAACGGCTTGAAAATAGGTTAGTAGTGTCCATAACCGTGGGCGGCAATGGGGCCGACGGCCACAGGGGCGGCCGCTACTGCCTTGACAGCGAGAGGGGCGGTAGCCACAGCCTTAAGGGGCGCGGCATTGTAGAGGGCACCAGCTGGAGCAGATGAAGCGGTTCCAGGTTCATTGGTGTTGACGGTGGCGCGGAAACCGGCGGCATCGGCAACGTAATCGACGCGGCGGGCAAGACCACGAGCATCAGTGAACGAGTATGAACCCTTCTTGTTGTTGTAAGTATCCGAAACTTCGTGGCGGGCCTGCTTGGTTCCGTACTCGTCGACAGACTCATAGCCGAACTGGTATGGTTGAGGAGGGTAAACGACGGCAACCTTAGCTACAACGGGGGCGGCAGCGATCTTAGCTACGGGTGCGGCTGCAGCATAGGCTAGGGGGGCAGGATGAGCCAGGGGGGCAGCATGGGCCAGGGGAGCGGCATATCCATGTGCAAGCGCGGGAGCAGCCAAAGCAGGGGCAGCGTATCCGGCGGCCAGAGTAGGGGCAGCGTACCCGGCGGTCAGAGCAGGGGCAGCCAAAGCAGGAGCAGCCAAAGCAGGAGCAGCCAAAGCAGGAGCGGCCAAAGCGGGCGCAGCGAGGCCGTAAGCAGGAGCAGCGATGTCCCGCGCATAGGCGGCGGCAAGTACCGCGGAGGCGACGGCGATCTACAATACAAAGAGAAACAAAAGGACTATAGTCGTCACATTTCCTATTGTACACCAAAATTCACATTTACGCACTGTCATTTATCCAACGTTTGTTGTCACTCGAGTTGTGTGGCGTTGGCCAGATCTGCAAGACACATCAACTTCTGTGCATTTCGGAAACTCCTGATTAGCTCGACGTTTTCGAGATCACTGTAGGGCTAACAATGAAGCAATAGTACAGGTGGAGCACGTCCATACCTTGGTGAACATGTTGTATTTTTCGATGTATTGGTGAAATACGCTTTCGGTAGACGGCCAAGCAGTCTTTATAGCGCCGTTTAAAGGGGCGAGTCCAAGCCGCCACTCCACAAAAGACCAGAAAAATTTGCGACGCCCGCGAACATCCAACCGGCGGATACACGGGAAAGTGGATTTACCATTGTACTGCGAGCACCGTAAACGATTTAAGATACTTGCGTTACGCTACGAGCTTCTACGGACCATTGATACGTCCCATGAATGTGAAATGATTTTGCCACGATATTTTAATTAAACCTTATACACAGGAGATAGCAAAACAAGTTATCACAGATACACACTTAACAAAGAGTAGATTTATTTTAAGCCGCTAATTTTCCAATACAAACACGATGTTATATCATCCAAGTACGATCGTCGAGATAGAATTTTCCAAAAAAAATAGTTCATCCTTAAAATTATTTTACTTTACATAAAAGAGCGTGTCAAAGGGCATATTCGATGTCCGAAAGTTAGAGCAAACGTGTAGAAAATTTTCAAGACATACCCATTCCAATTTAGGTTTCGAAATCTTTGGAAATAACAGTTTCGCCGCATCCTCAAAAGTATAGCCGATAAGCTATCCGTATGGCGTAACTTTACAAGTGTCAGTAGCTAATCGTTCCTAGTGTAGTCGACCCATGGGCTTACGGCGCTAGGCTGCACTGCTTGGTTCGATGCTCAAATTTTATCTAATGCTATCATCTTTTTGATGATAAAGACGTTTAGATGTACGACGTGTGATATGTGACCGAAGGTAAAACAGTTTAAAAAAGATGAAAATAAAACAACATTAAAAAGCACAAATTAATCATATGTTATCCAGTTAACTTTATAATCAAAATATGCATGCAGACTTTCGAATTGGTAACTTGGCTTCAGAAGACACTTTGTTTGCCCTTGGCCCTGGTACTGGACGAACGCTTCCCAAAGCGATAACTATAGTTTTGGTCAGGTTGCTACAGTCACTAGAATAGGTGGATAAGACCTGCTTTTCCGTTTATGTATGGCAAAGTATTCAACATCTTTTCAACAGGGATGTAATTGCTGCCATCAAAGATACGGACGGCCGAGTTGCTAAGCGAAAACAATTCAGCCAGAAATATACAGGCCAATACAAGGAAATGATAGTTTTATTAAAAAAAAGGTAATCTCTTTTATTCAATCATACCGTATCAGGTACGATATTGTTGCTGCTTTTATCGAATCGTTGTTTTTTTTTCGTACGCACAAGATTGGTTGGTCGTCTAATAAATGGAACTTTTATATATCAAGACGGTTGTGAAGGCGTGATACATATGTTCTAATTAATTTAATTAGAAAAATCCAGCGTGCCGATTCTGACACCAAAGTTTGATTTTTATACTAAGTATACGACAGGGAAAATTGCCTGAACCCCCTTTAGGTATGTATATACATACATATATATATATTTTTTTCGAGTCTATTGTATTGCAACTTAGAAATATCACCTCTGGAAGTTGTCGTGAGACGGGTAATATTAATGAGTAAATAAAACCGTTTAAAGATGTTTGTCGGCTTACGAGGCAGGTCTTACCCATATTAGTGTCCTACAAATAGGTAGGCTGTTCAAAGCTTCTAAGAAATAAGAAATCGTTATTTAAATACATAATTTGGATGTCTATAAAATATTCTGCTTTTAAGCTAAAATTGTATTTAGAGAAAATTACACCTGATGCCTGAGAACATGTCCCTGACCGGCCTGAAACTGGATTCTGTCCATTAGTAGACTCGAAATTTCATCTAAAAGTGACGTTTACGTGAAAACACATCGATTTATTTTTTGTATGCTGTAAGTAAGCAAAGATGAACAGCTGAAGCTTATTCTGAATTCAGATTCGGGGTGGATCATCCTTTCATTAATTTCTGTACGGATCTCTACATCGAACCTGCTACCGAACGTAAAAATTATAGAGCATTTTATCATTGTAACATGGTCGCGTCCTGTTTGGGTCCTAGATTATTTTTACTAAGATCCATTGCTACATTGTACCTTTGGCGATTTGTCATCACATCGATTACGTGTTAGTACGATCAGACAAGTTAAACACTGAGCCGTACTCCATTAAAGCTTATCGTCTGGTTCATAGTTTCTCTGGCCTGTCTCAAGATTTGCAATTGGGTAATCGCACTCAAAACGCCTTTATTTCGGTGCCTACTATTCGCCACTACTACCAATTGTTAGACCAGTCAATTAATTATATCCTTTTTTTTTTTATTCGACTTTATCCACAACATTATATTTGACATATAGCTACGACTAAATTTTAATAGATAAAAAAAAATCGAATAAAACAAATATTCAACAAATAGATACGAACCGTATTAACGTTGCTCGCAGTTGTGTTGCTCAATGCCGCAGGAGATTCCCAATAACTAGTTACGTTCAAAAAGGCTGCCGAATGAAGAGGAAACTACCTTGAAACAGGTTCAAAGGAGACTATTCTGAACCGGTCAGTCCTGCAGTAAAATGTCTAAAACTAGCAAATACAGGGAAATCAATAATAATAATAATAATAAAAACAAATAATTAAACACGCTCGCTTGCGGTCAAGATAGCTCGCTATAAGCATAATGATAAATTTAGTTATATTTGGAAAAAAAAATAGAAAATGGTTGCCAACGTGACACAGCGACTGAAAGCCACTGGTCAATTTTCGTAGCCACGAGCTCTGAAAGATCTGCACAACCATACATTCTATTAGGCAATATAGACGCATTAAACCTTAAGTTGTGTTCCGCGCAGAAAAATTCAATGCTCTTTTTAGCCTCGTCCGATGCTGTCGGACCGAGTTATATATAGCTCGTAAAAATTATAGTACAATTTGAAAAGTCCGCTACAGATATTAATTATATTTTCCTAGTTAAAAGAATACACAAATGAATTCCTGTCAATAACTTCAAGTCGTAACTTCTCGTTTGATTTTCAAACCAAATATAAAATCGCTTAAGTATCAGTTTAAGTAAATGTATATGCATCATAAAGTCTGGGATTATCTGAGACGTTCCGCACTCGCCTTGTACATAACGTAGCAATCTACAATGTCACCAATATTGAGGACAACATCCAAGCACGACTCGGGGACTGCAATTATTTATCTTATTACAGAACCAAGATCTTTAAAGACTCACGGACAACAGTGATCCAAGATGAAAATAGAGATACGTTGATAAAAAATAATATGCTTTACGGTATGTCCATAGCCTTTTATAGCGAAATTAAAAAATCAGTAAGCTCCATAGCGAAGACAGCCATAGGGGCGGCGACAACGGCCTTTACAACGACATGAACGGCACTGCAGAGGGCATCGGCCGGAGCAGATAGAGCAGCTCGATGTTCGTTCGTATATACTATAGGATACAATCCTACGGCAACGACAACTTGGTCGACGTGACGGATAATACTATAATAATACGGCGGATAATATGCATATTATTGAATGGGTGTGAAGTCTCTTTGCTGTGGTAAGCATCCGAAACGTCCTGGCGGCACTGCTTAATTCTGTATTTGCTTACGGACTAATAACCCAACAGTTAAGATTGGGAGAAGATGCGATGGGATGGAAGATACTGCAATTTACACAACTTTGTGTTTCTTCCTAGTGCCTAGGTAAATAAAGTACGTTCTAGTGAGAAGAAGGATTTTCTAGTCCTACGGAACGATTTAACGGGACACCAGTTGAAGCATTGCTAAACCTCCCAGAAAAAGCATATATTAGTACGGGCAGATTTGGGCGCGATCGCCTACGTGCACGTTACTCGCACGTATTTACCGAACCCGCAAATGTAGCCCGGGTCTTAAAGCTTGCGTGACGCATCAACGCCGGTGAAAGAGGGAGCCTAAGATTAATCGCTATATAGACACAGTTATAGCGCTGATCATAGGCCATCAGCGATTGCTGGTTTGCCTTCTTCTTCCATAACAGTTCTGCTTCTAACGTCAAAATTTATATTGTAGGACTTCCAACAGATATTGCAACTGTAAGTAACGGAAAACGTCAAATACGTTTCCAATATTTTCTATATTAAATAAAAGAGCTACAGTAACAAAAAAGAAGAAAGGACAAAAAATAACAATTTGTTATTATTTGATTTATTATTTTAGTCACTAGCTTAGATTTCCGATCTACCAGAGAGGAAACACATTCAAGTATGAATCATAACGTAACAATGTGTTGAGATTTAAGTCACATCGAAATAGTGAATGCAGGGAATCATTTCCGAGTCTTACCAAGTTTATTTATAGTCGCTCTTCGACTTTTCTACTAATCAGCTTGCAGCAAAGATTTCAAGCATGAAAAACTGTCTATCCTACAAAGTTTCTGTAACTATAGGGAAGTTACTTCTGTGGAAAGTGAATAGTTTTTATTACCTTTAGACTACAAAACGAGCGGAATAGTGTTTTTTTTTTTTTTTTTTTTATCTGAGCTCAGCTGCTAATGATACACCCGTTATCTGTAAAAAATCATTATGAGTCTCTGGCCACAGAATCATAAAGCTCGTACCAATACGAATCATGTGCTTTGCTTAGAAGTAACTGGTTTTATAGAAATTTTTAGATGTTGTCTCTTTCCTTCAGGGCTATAGCACAAACAATCGTTGTTTACCTGTACAATTTTGAGCTGACTTCCTCCGAAACGGCGGTCTGTAATTTTGATCGGGACATATATTCTGGTTCGGAGTAAGGAGTTGCGTCAGGCGACGAATATCGTCCCCTGCCACATGCTTGTTGGTTACAGTATAAATAAATCGATCAAAAAATAGATCTTTAACGATCATTGCTGACGTAATAGATCGACGTCGTGTATACGATCAGGCACACGTAATTCTAGTTGCTTTGCTTGATGTAAACATATTTATACGGGCCTTCTTCGACACTGGCAACTAACGTTGAGCCTTCACCGCTGACTGCTACAATGGATAACACTACATATTCCAAAGAGAGTTAATTGCCAATTCCTAGTATATGTTATACTGTAATGCTTAGCTTGCATACTATCTAGGGTAAAAGTACGCCGCGGTTTTCTGTTTTAATTATAGCCACTCGTTTGCAAATAAAAAGTTAAGTATAACTTGAGTACAGGTTATCTATTAGCGTTATATCTGGTGGTTCGGCGAGAGATGGC